CGTCTACTTGAATATCGAAGGTATGGCAGCAAACGAATTCATCCGATGGCAATCATCGTAAGAAGACTTTGGTTGTCATCTCCAAAAATCGAGGTGCAGATAGAATCAGGACTTCTGTGTCTAAAGACAAAGAATGGGAGATGTCTTAGGGTGTTCTTAAACGATTTGGTGAGGTTGGTAGCAGCTCACAAAGTTGATGGTCTAGTAGATGAAGCTGTGGAGGTAGACCAGGATGATGGGAATGCAATTGACAAAGGCTCGGTGAAAGGAAGAATGTGGTCGCCACAACTCGTTGTTCAGGCCTCATACAGTTGTCTACAAGTCTACAATATCTTTGGCCATTAAACCTGAATGCGTGAATGGTATCTTAGAGTGTGTAAGTTGAGGCGGTTCTAAAATAGACTTCGCGTATTGTGACGAGACAGCCTTCACCAGCAATTGAGACACCGTCGGCGATATTGGATATCGATGTCATGGGCAAGAAAGACGATTTGTAAAGATTGTGCCCGTGTGCCTGACGTGGAATTGACCATGAAAAGCAGGAATTCGCGAGTTGTTGGTAGCCGCATCGTTTTGCTCACAATGATCTTTTCTCGACGTCGGAGATCACTTCGCATGCACTATGGACTTCTCTACGCCCTCAGCAAAGCCGCCGACTTTACTTGACACACTTATTAGGCAACGATGCAAATCCGTGGACGTTGTGCCATCATAGACCTCTTTTGCGGAAGTTCAATTCCACTCTGAACCTGCAACGGGGATCGGCAGATGTCAAGGAGGCTGTGATATATGATTTTTTGTAGGTTTGGAAGGTTTTTGGCGTTCAAATATGATTTTAAGGATACTTTCGTCATTTGTACCTAAAAGAAAACTATGCACCGCTGGAAAAATGTTTTTTTTCTTCTGTGAATAGCACGGTAAAAGGACCGCGCACAACAATGGAGAAGCACAAATTTTTGCTTCTAAAGGTTGTCGGTTAAAGAAAATTCTGGCATCATCTTGGACCTCGGAGATTACGTTATTTAGCTCCAGGAATTGTCATCAGATTCCTGCGGCGTCAGTTCAAATACGAGACAGATCGCAGATCAAAACGGACAGCTGCATAACTTTCTTCTCAGGTATTCTTGAAACGAGCACCTTAATAATGGCCACCTTATTCCTGGTCCATCCAGTTCCTGAACAGATGATTGACATCGATGCAGGTATTAGGAGGTAAAGGTATCAGCCCCCTTCACAGGACAGCTACGACGTTTCAAACCATGCAACGTTTCGGTGGAATATTTAAAATATTTGACAAACTCTTAACCAATTAATGCTCGTCCAAGTTAATTAAATTGGCTGTCTGGTTGTGAAAATTTTTCGTTTTAATTAAACGTTGTTTATGAGTTGCTTGAGCATATGTCTAGACTTGTGACAGGTGGTTAGCGTAGGTGAATGCTGTCGCATTTGATACTTATTTGTTACATATTTCTAATTTGAGAAAACTGATCGCATAATTTTCACAAAGCGACACATTGCCCCCTTCTGAGTGACCAATAGGCCATTTTGAATTGCAATAATTCTAAGAAAATTGTCTGAACTAGACACAGGCCTAAGACATCTTTAATGTCTGGTTGTAGAACTGCTACACGCGTATGTTTAACGATGTAGGAATTTGTTTTCTACATTCATTTGTTAGTCTTAAACAAAATACACGACTTTGTTAAAAGTGTGCATTGCCTTAACTCTCGATTGGTTTTAAAATGCTCCACCAATAAAAGAACACAGCGCCTCATTATGAGTGGCTCTTAAATTATGGACCAATCGCCTGCGGACTATGCCAGCATATATGATGTCATCATTGTTGCCTTATCAACTAGAAGCCAAATATTGTCGGTCGTTTGATCATTGTGGTGGGACATTTCTTAGCGGGACATGACATATCCCTGAGTCTTAATTCATGCATAACTAAGCCGAGCTTAACCGGACAAATTAAAGTGACAGGAAGCTGGTTGCACCTTAACTTTGCGTTTTTAACATTTATCTCTTGGCAGACAGAAGTATATATTTAAAATCCAACTTATCTCTGTGGCAAAATTTTGTTTTTTATCAAAATACAGTTGTAAGACGCTAAATCCGAAACATCATTCTGATCATTACCGCACCAATCAAAAATCAGTTTGATACCATATAATTATTGATTTAAGTGAATGTAGCCAATGAGTATCGATCAGTTGGGCTTGTTGTCAGATTCAAACACGACTGCCTCAACAAGTGGCACCAGTTAAGCTATCAAGTGCCGTGATCATCACTTCAAACTCATTCAAGTTCCTAACAGTGTAGTATCGCCTATAAAATACGAAATCAATTGAAATTAAGAGTTGAATTGTTAACACGGAAACGGCTCCAAGAATTGCTGAATTTTATGAAAAAATATCCTTATCACATCGTGAATTTCCCTCAAACAAATTTTTCATGGATCAATATAGTCAATTGGCGGAAGCAACCGAAAAAAATGTGGAAAATTTGTGACTTTTTGATACGTTTTTCACGTAATTCCTGTCCATCACATTGTTTTACCATTCTTTAAGTCAATCTAAAATGGTTAGGCATACGACTTCTTTTTTGTCAAGTTTAAAGTCAAAGATTGGACGAGAGGCTTCAGAACACTGTGCGACGAGTCAAGGTGAGTTTAGTTACATGCCTTTGTAGCAGGTTGTACGATGACCGCTAATAAACAGCACACTTGGTACTGGATTTTATAGAAATTTTGACAAGAAAAATGTGCTTTACGGAGATCACAAACACAGTTCTGTATACGCAATGTTTATTGGCCGCCATATTTTAAAGTATCTTCTCTTTTTTAAAAGAGCCAGTCAAATCTGCCTGATTGCGGACCTTGATATTTATATTTGGCCCTTTATTTGCAAGTAGTATTAAATAATCCATCGAGATTACAAATGGAAAATTTGGTTTGTGCTGCTAAGTTGCCTAGTAATACAAAAATACACCGAGTCTTCATATTTGAGCGCAAATTCATTATAGTTCAAATGTAATGTCTTCATTAACGATTTAAATGGCGCTTAGCTCGATTTTTTACAAGTGAACAATTTTTAAAAAAAAAGATTCCTTTTTACTTAATGAATCACTATCCGGTGTTAATGAAACTTTGGTGTTAGTAGAACCGCATGAAGAAAAAAGATAAATTTGTGCATCATAAAACAGGCGAAAAGTTGTGCAAAAATGTTTTCATTGCTTACTTAAACCGAAAAACAATTGCAAAATTTCAAAAAACACACACACTGATACATTTTTGCGTTGTTAACTACAGCAAAATGAACAGAAAAATAAAACCAACATCTTAGGTTCATTTCGAATTGGTTCAATTACTGAAGACAAAAGATGTTTCTGGAATTCTGTTGTTTTTTAACCACATATCCACACTACATGGAGATACTTTGCTGATGCGTTAGCAGTTGGGTGTTTGTCTCAGTTGTAGGAGAGCAAATGTTCTACACAATTACCATCCTCTTTAGATTTATATTTAGACATTTTGGTCAACCTGGGATTTAGTCGTACTTTGGCCAAAGGTTTTAAGCAATAAAATTCTGTTCCAAAAAATATTTAACAACCAGAAAATCAACCGCCTCATGTTTCCGGCCCACACTTAAAAGCTTGCCCGGAATTCCTTCTGTCTCACCAAATTGAATGACTTAATTAGCACTAGGGTTACTGAATGAAACTCATTCACTATATTTACACGACCATCGTTTAAAAAAAAAGAAAAATGTTAAGTCTGTCCAAGCCACCTTGAGTTCATATATTTCGTTTTAGCTGCCGTCGATTCAGAAGCGTTTCGCTTTAAATGTTTTTCACTTACTGCATCCAGTGAATAATCAAACGCACAGAAGACTTAAAATTTGGGACTAATATTTCTACTTTATAGACCAGATACTCATGATCTGAGTCCTAGAAAAGTGTAAAAGTCAGGTACTGCCCAAGCACAATTGGATAAATGGTCTATGCAAAACTAAGTACAGAAAAAAATTGAAGATAAAAACTGTAGTGCCTAGTTCATCCATTTGCCAAGCAAAGAGCCAAGATTCATTAAAATGCCTCAAGATTTGTTGTGAAAATTTTGTAATTGTTTAGATATAGAGGGACTTTTAATGAACAACTATAACTAGGGCTTATTTATCAACTGATGCACTTTATAAACACTTATTTATGCACCAAATAAACGAGTTGTGTTAGACTAATGAAACTCCATAAAAATCCCTGTGGCTTTGGAACTGAAATTAACCGTTAGTTTGGATCATTCATTAACAGAATGGAGCCAAAAAAATTTTATTCAAAATCTTATTAAAATAATTCATGACTTAAATGATAAATTATATTTTCTTCTTGATCTAAGGCAGTATCAGCAGATTTTGCAAAGTGTTGCAATATTCCTCGATGTCAGAAATTCAAGTATCAAGTGATGAGACTGATAATAATTAAATTGAGAAATATGTATCTAAATGGTCAGAATAATCTATAAGATCTGCAGAAACTTGTGGCCAGAAGGATAGTTTTAATTAACTAACTTTTAATGCTGAACGCTATCCTAACCAATAGTAGTAAAGTGACGCAATTTTTTCATGATTTGTCTGTATAAAATGTTGAGGCGGCTGCTCAGTAATTGTGCCTCTTTGGAATATGGATGAACAATCTAATGGTATACATATTTTGTCACTTATTTTAAAGATACGTCGTTTGAGGATTTTGTTGAATTGATTAATGCGTTGGCGTCATGCAACGGGCACAAGGAACGTTCTTCAATGATATCCAGGTTTATCAGTGATGGACCAAATGGTACTTACATTGACCTATGTCGTTTATGTTTTCCAGGTTCCCTTCATCGTGACACGCCACTTATTTTAAAGCTACTTTTACCAAAAGCAACTCAAAGGGTTTATAACGTTCAGGACAAACAGTTGGTTAAATATTTTTCGGAAATATTTGAGACCGACAAGGACGAAATGGTAGCCGATTTAGAAGAGGTAGCTGCATAAATCCTTGTAACCAAATTAAAAGGGTGATGTTGCCATGACTCTCTACACTTTCTTTAAACAAAGTCAAAGGGTTCGACCCTTAAAGAAAAGCAAGGTTTCCCTAAAACAGGTAAATCTTCAATTCACCCTTCCAGTTTTCTGATTTCGTTGATCAGGTTGATAAGTGGCTTGATGACCTGGCTAACGCCTCCGGGGATGATGCTCGCATCAGGGTTTTGCTAAATTCGACAAAAATGTGCACAGCTGATGATTATTTGATTTTCATGCGTCTTATCAAGAAGGATTTGTGTATTAACGCTGGCTCGAAACAAATGTAAGCATTTATCTAGTACTAATGAAATATCATTGAATATCTCTTTGCCAATGTCAGTATCCTCCTGTGAATAGTTAGAGTGCTGCCTCCAGATAATTTTTTAATTAAACGCACATTAAGTATTTATAGAATTCACATTACTTTATCGTTTGCTTCGCATGTATTCTGTAGTAATGTATTTTTTTAGATTGGATGCACTTGGTCCCGGTGCCTATGCTGCTTTTCAGGCATCTCACGACCTCGAGGCTGTTGTCGATAACGTACGGAATGCCCGTGAAGTTGGGAAACGCAAGCTTACCACCGGGAATCTCTCCGTCGGCATTAAATTAATGACCCCAATAAAGCCCATGCTTGCAGAACCTGGTCGTTCAGTCGACACGGTCATTGCCAAAGGCTCAGCCGCGGGTGGAATGCTCGTTGAAATCAAATACGACGGGGAACGCGTTCAGGTCCACAAGCAGGGTAATAAGTTCGCCTACTTCTCTCGCAGTTTGAGACCTGTGCAGCTGCAAAAGGTTACTTCCGCGTCTGTTTATTCCTAATCAGAATAAGCTATATGCTATTCAGTGTGAACACGTAGTCCACACACTGGCGCTAGTTTTATGCAGCGACAACGTTTCTCCGACTTTGTGCATTTAAAAACGCAAACGACTGCCTTTCAGGTGGAACATTTGAAAGAGTTTATCCCAAAGGCTTTCCCTGGAGCGGTGGACTTAATAATCGACTCCGAAGTTCTCCTTTTGGACGTCAACACGCAAAAGCCTTTGCCCTTCGGAACTCTCGGTGTTCACAAGGTGAGTTTGTAACCCTCAAGACAACGTCGAAGGCTTATGTCGACCTTCTACCGTTCACTTTTTTAATAAATCTTTCAAATAGGCTCTCGGAATGCTATTACAATCATTCCAATTCCAATGTTTGATTTCAGACAGTTTCATTCCTTCATGCTGATAAAAACATCATTTCTATTCTGCCATTGTGGTTTGTTCTAGAGGAATGCGTTTAAAGATGCCACTGTATGTCTCTTTGTATTTGACTGTCTCTACATCAATGGAAGAAGCCTTCTCCTTGAGTGAGTTTCACTTTAGTGTGTGCGTTTCACTGTCAATTTTATTATCTTCTAAATTCAGTTTACCTGTCTGGCTTTGAATTGCACCCTAAACCGAAACATGCAGTATTTGTAAGTGAGAAGCCTCTCATAGTTGAAGACAGCAAGTTGTAAAATTTAGTTAAATACAAAGGTTTTGCAATTATACTAGCAGTCTTAGACGTAAGTGGTTTTCTACCGAAATGCGTTCTGTACAAATTTTTCAAAACACGCATACTGCCCCATCAAAATGGCTCCCATTTTTGTGGTAGTTGCCCTAGAAGACAGCAAATAAACCGTCTTCCTTATCACAAGAAATTCAGCAAACATACCTACTTGACAATGCACTGTGGTTTGTAGAACCTCAGTTATAGATGGTCAGATACTTGTAGCCTACGTATATATAAGCATTTGACTTGTTTGTTTATTGAATATTCATCGTACGTAAGCATAAGTACCTTTAGGCATTTTCAAACAAGCCATCGATTCAGTTGCAGCTTCTGTGTTACCAGAGGCAACCGTGCGATTTCCCAATTAACTGTTCAAATTCAAGCTTTTCATTTGCAATGATCCAGAACTGACGTTGTATTATTAACCAATGGGTTCGCGTCTTCTAATTCTGTTCATCCAATCAAATAGCGTGCATGATTGTTCCCAAAATTGTTTACTTTTTTTTTTTCTCAAACGGTGTTGAAAGCGCGTAATAATTGTCCTGCATTCGACTTATTATGTATCTGTGCGGAATTTGGCTGATCACTGCAAATCACGGAGACACGGCTATCACCAAGGTCAACTCTTGTGCGATGGTTAACTTTAGTACTTGTGATGGAAGTTTTCGTTAAAGTTGAGTTACTGAGGGGACTTAGTCTTTGCGAAATTCCGATGCATTGATTGAAATTCACGCGAATTCGTACTTTTAAGGTGATTAAACCACCGCAAAGAGAGTGTTAGCGTGCGTAAGGGTGCCAGTTTTAGACCGACGGGTTATTGATAGAAACAGTTTCTATTTCTGTGGAAATTAAAATGAGCACTGTCGTACGAAGAAGGTGTTCTAGTACGACAATGCGTTCTCATTATGGAAACTCGTTCTGCCATTGACCCATCTAGTGTTCTGAATTTTCCAACGGAAAATCATGCCATATTACTCACTTTCATGGTTTTACAAGGAACTGTTGAACACCTATGCACATATAAGTTACTAGCTTCCTTGAATAAAAACCAAACAGTTCGTTTTTCCAGCTAAACTAGTTGATACTTTGACGAAAATTGGCGATATCTGGACAGCTTTTAAGTCATTTAATGAGACCCTAGCTCTGTATTGGTGTGCGTTCTACTGAGTTCAAAAATACCAACAGTTGACGTTTGCTGTTTGGATGCATCGATTGTCATCTAGAGCTGGCCTTGTCCTATTACTCGTGGATATTAATTTGTTTTCTTTACTGAGGTATTTGATCTTAGATTCCTGATGCGAGGTAATGCCCTCGCCTCATTTATCGAGATGGTTTAAAACTAGTCAGAGCAGTCATCATTACTGTATTAACCTTGAGCAGCGCGAGCTACTGACCCCCTCCGCAAACACTGAAACTAGCTGAAGTAATTTTCGGTTGTGTTTTTGGGCGTGTAACGTGCCTACCGAGTGGGGACCTAAATAGGGAGATGACCGTTAGCCCGTCCCTCTTAGATAGCCACGCCATCATGGTTAGCTACCAGGCATACGATAGACGAATAGCTGGAAGAACCGGATGTATTCCGTACTACCGCATACAAACTCAGAGGGCAAGAGCTTTGGGG